AGTACTACTATTTTATTTAACGACAGCACTATATACATATAATATGATACAAAACCATGTTCATTTATATTAATACATAAATTTTGAGATCTCAAAAAAATTGATATTAAAAATTAGAAAATAAAAGTGCACCCAAATACTTTTTCCACATTTACAACTACACTATTTTTTATTCCTGCACTGAAAATGCAGTCCACACACGTATAATGACAGTCCTCGTCCACAAGGATTAACCCAAAAAGTGAATGAATAATAAAACAGAAAGTGACCAAAAAAAGACACAGTAAAGAGCATATAAATGAGTTCATTTTTATGAGTTCAAGCCTCGAATAACCTATCCTAACTTTACATAACAGTTTCTCGATCACGGTCATAGAAAGAACTGGAATATAGTGTACGCATTCCACTTGCTTTCGAGGCCGAAATTTCGAGAGAATAGGTAACGTTACCGGTGGTATCTCGAGGTCGATGACACTCTAAACACACTATTCTAATTACCGGTGGAGAGACCACGAGTAGCGGTACACAGTGTTATGTCCATCGATTTGTAAAATACTATTCTGGGAACGTAGAATAGTGATCGATGGGGAACAGATACATGGTTCGATGGACGTATTTGTAATTTTGATACGATCTGTTACAGCAGGGGTTCCCAAAGTGGATCTTCATTTAAGGATTTTGTGAGGACTAATTATGAAACTGATTATACAAAATAATTCGAAGAAACAATAAACAGTAGATAAAGAAACAATTTAAATTATGAAACTAATTATTCAGAATAATTCAAAGAAACAATAAACAGTAAATAAAGGAACAGTTTAAATTATGAAACTAATTATTCAAAATAATTTAAAGAAATAATAAAGAGTAAATAAAGAAACAGTTTAAACTATGAAACTAATTATTCAAAATAATTCGAAGAAACAATAAGCAGTAAATAAAGAAACAATTTAAATTATGAAACTAATCATTCAAAATAATTCAAAGAAACAATAAACAGTAAATAAAGAAACAGTTTAAATTATGAAACTAATTATTCAAAATAATTCAAAGAAACAATAAGCAGTAAATAAAGAAACAATTTAAATTATGAAACTAATTATTCAAAATAATCAAGGAAACAATAAAGAGTAAATAAAAAAATAATTCAAATTATGAAAAAATTATATACACTTAATTTGTGAAATTAAAATAGAGAAATGAATAAAGAAACGATACAGTAAAAATTAATATGTACATTAACTCTTTACCTTAATAAAAAATTCAAGAAGATTTCGAGGACATCTTAATACATTTTACGGTTTAAAATAAAAAAAAAATTAGGCATGTCAAATGCTTTGGTGTTTTTAGTGATAAAAAGATAGACAAGTGTGATGAAAATGTAAAATCTTGAAGATTAGAATTTTTATAAAATATTTGATAGTTAGATGTAGAACATTCAATATTTAAATATGTAGCATCTAGATATCTAGCATATACGTATCTAGCATTTAGATATCTAGCAGCTGGATATCTAGCGTCTAAATATCTAGCGTCTAGATATCTAGCAGCCAGACACGTAGCATCTATACATCTAGCGTCCACATATCTAGCATCCAAATTTTTTTAACAAAAAGAAGAATTGTTATCATTGTGTAATTTCTTCTTTTTTCTTTTATAAACGTTTATAGAGATGTTACTTTGTTTATCGTCGATTTTTACTGGGCAAACTTTGAATTTTTCACACGAATAATGCATGAATATGAATATGCACGTTGTACTGTTCTGTCGAATCAACAAATTTTCCACGTACTCAGCTTTTTGTTTATATTGCATTCATGCTGCTGTACGATATCGTATGACTATGCACGTTCCTCTGGATGGGGAGGTCATTTTTGTTTACCAAGAAAATATTGGCTTTTACTGGCTTCAGATGGATCATTTTACAATGACAATTTAATATAATGCATTGTGTAATTGTAAAATACTTGTGACAGTAAAAGTTACATTTATTTTAATAATTCTAATATTTCACAAAATTAATATTTCTTTTAATACAATTACCTGAAATGTAGAAGTTTGCAAATTAAAATTTGAGAAAATTTAAATAATGAAAATGCAGTGGGTCCAAAAATTGTAAAATTTATGTGACAGCAGAAATTAACATTTGTTTTAGCAATTCTATTATTTAAATAGAATGATGGAAAATGTAGAAATTTGAAAATTAAAATCTGAGAAAAATTGAATGATAAAAATACAGTGAGTCAAAAAATTCTATAATACATGTGAGAGTAAAAATACATTAAAATTGACCCTAACAATTTTATTGTTTAATTACAATTACCAGAAATGTGAAAATTCGAAAATTAAAATCTGAGAAAATTTAAATAATAAAAATACAGTGAGCCAAAAAATTGTAAACAGCATGTGAGAGCAAAAATGCATTAACATTACATAGAAGCTTGGAAATTGAAATGCGAACAAATTTGAATGACAAAGATACAATAGGTAAAAATATACTTGACATCTTTTTATAAAATGTTTAAAAGAAACATAGTAAAAGAAACATAATATTATCTCACATCTCATTATATAATACATTACATTGTTTATTGTAAACACATAATGCACCTTAATTATCGATACATAGTAACAAGACCATCAATTTAAGAAGACAGGTACTTGCCATTCAATTCATCCGCATACGTTTAACCTCTCCATTCTACAAAACAATTGCAGATTACGTCTAAAAAAATACTTAACACTAAAACTACCAAACCGGTCAAATGACCGCTCCACAAATTTCTTATTATAAGGTGCACATTTTGTTAAAGTACATTCCTTGAAGTCAGCAGTGATTTCCATCAAGATGAAGAATAAACGTGTGTGCTAATTTATGTTTCGTCGTTTGTATATTTATTCTTTAACTTCATTTTTAATTTCAAAGTAAGTGTACATTATATATCGGTAGGTTTAGTGTTAATACACATTACCTTGAATGTGTTCAAAGTACATACGATGCGAAATTTCATCTCATTTCGTCGAAGATCGCTGACCTTCTATCAGACACGTGAGTCAAACAAACTTCATTGTTTCTATTTTAGTCATCTTATCAACCTCGACTGTGTTCGTGTATTCAAAACTAGTAAACTTTTTTACTGAGACGTCAGAATGAATATATTTGACAAATGCATTTCTAAAAGTGATGAATGAAATTTTGAAGTACGATTGTTCGGGTATTTTTAGAAGTCCGAATATATGGCTACTTTTTGTGTATACAAAAGAACGAGGGAAGATAGAATACACAGAAAATGAAAAGATACGTGTCTTTAATATTTAAAAGCATGTTGTAAGACTAACAAATTTTGTTTATAGTTGCAATGCATAATTAATGTACTCATTAGTAATGTAACGGGTGATGTTTTTGAGATGAGGAAGAAAAATCTGTTAATGGAACGTTGACAAACTTAACAGTTCTAATGTAATGTGTAAACGAAATGTGTGAATTTTTTGACGATAGGGAATTTATAAACTGATTAATTATAGAGATGTAGTATATTTACATTAAAAATAAAACGATGTGAAGGATGGAACATAAAGTAATTTATGCAATTATTCATCTTGACAATAGTTACTATGTTTCTGTAAGCCATCTTCATTTTTGTGGGAATTTTTAAAATGTGGGAGATGCGCCATTTTGACATGACACGGCCATTTTATTACTTTGGGGTGACTGTTGGGTTCTATTATGTTAGACGTACCAGCAGTGTTATTTATTTAATATTAATGTTATTAACAATGAAGAATGTTCAATATTTTCGTTTGACACTGAGTTGTATTAAACTAATCTAAATCTACTGTCACTGCTATTCACTTAACACTAATATTATTAAAAATAAAGAAGGTTCATCATCTTTTACCTACTGAGTTGTTAACCTAACCTAAACCTACCTCAGTGCTATTCACTTAATATTAATATTATTTAAAATATACAATGTTTAACATTATTTCCATTTGACTATTGAGTTGTATTAACCTAATCTAAACCTACTATCAATGTTACTCATTTAATACTAATATTGTCAAGAATGAAGAAGGTTCATCATCCTTTACCTACTGAGTTGTTAACCTAACCTAAACCTACCTCAATGCTATTAATTTAATACTAATATTATTTAAAATATACAATGTTTAACATTATTTCTATTTGACTATTGAGTTGTATTAACCTAATCTAAACCTACTATCAATGTTACTCATTTAATACTAATATTGTCAAGAATGAAGAAGGTTCATCATCCTTTACCTACTGAGTTGTTAACCTAACCTAAACCTACCTCAATGCTATTCACTTAATGCTAATATTATTTAATATATAAAATGTTTAACATTATTTCCATTTGACTATTGAGTTATATTAAACTTGAAAACCCCAAAGTTATCCAGAATAGATGCTATTCACTTAATGCTAATATTATTTAATATATAAAATGTTTAACATTATTTCCATTTGACTATTGAGTTATATTAAACTTGAAGACCCCAAAGCTATCCAGAGCAGAATAAAATGTATAAATGTGAAATTGAACTTTTACAAATGAGAAATTTTCCTTTGACTATTGAGTTGTATTGAACTTGACGACCCCAAAGTTATCCAGAACAGGATAAAATGCATAAATGTGAAATTGAACTTTTACAAATGAGAAATTTTCCTTTGACTATTGAGTTATATTAAACTTGAAGACCCCAAAGCTATCCAGAGCAGAATAAAATGTATAAATGTGAGATTGAACTTTTACAAATGAAAAATTGTCCTTTGACTACTGAGTTATATTAAACTTGATGACCCCAAAGTTAGTCCGATCACGACGAAATGCATAAATGTGAGATTGGAACATTACAAAATGAGAAATGAGATCTGAATGTTGGAAACATTGGGAAACGAACATGAAAATGAATCAGGAATCTATTAGTCTCGAATATTTGCTATAGATAAATGTGCCAATCTCTGTTATTTACAGATCTGGAGCAGCAGCTTTGATGCTACGTAAAGTAGAAACAAAAGAATGGAGATGCTGGGTATAAAGTTTGCACCGTTGAATGTACCGTTGAAACGAAGACTGGAAACGCTGTCAGCCGCAGTATGGTTCATTTGGCTGAGCGCTGGAGATTTACTGGGTTACCTGATCACTGCTTATCTCTTGTTCTATACCACGATCATACGTTATTTCATGTTACTGTATTTTCTGTGGATGTATTATGACTGGGATACGGGGAACAAGGGAGGTAGGAGGTAAGCTTTTTAATATAAAAATATTTGGAAATTCAAATTAGGTTCAGACACAAATTAATTTTAAGAAACACGAATTTAGTTCTGCAAATGCAAATTAATTTTAGGAAATACGAATTTACTTCTGTAAATACAAATTAATTTTAGCAAATTCCAATTGGATTTAAAAAGATGAACCAGTTTTAATAAATGTAATATTAAATATTATATTCTGTCGAAATTTAATGCATTTGTATTTCTTTTTAATTAGATGTACTTTCATGTTTGGAATATTATTATAGAAAAGTTTTATTATAAATTTACTTTAGAATATTATTTAAATTTTATTTAAATTTGCATTACAATATTGTTTAAATTTTTTTTAATTTTATTTTACAGTACTATTTAAATTTTATTTGAATTTGCATTACAATATTGTTTAAATTTTTTTTAAATTTATTTTACAGTATTATTTAAATTTTATTTGAATTTTATTATTTGTTTATTGTTGTTATTTCTTGTAATTCATTATTGTCAGTATTTTGTAGATTTCATTTATGTTATTATTTAATGTCACTCATTCTTATCGGTATTTTATTTAATTCATTATTATTATTCTTTCGTACAATTCATTATTATTATTGTGTCTAAAAATTCATTGTTATTATTCTTTCATACAATTCATTACTATTATCACTTTAAAAAATTCTTTATTTTTATTTCATATAATTTACTATTACTTGCAATATTTGAGCATGTGCGTTTACGCCTTCCACTAATCTTCAACAAGAAAGTCAAACATTTATGATTAAGTCTTATCAGAGTAGATTTCGTGTGAGCGATAGACGTTCTTATCAACTTCGAGATATGCGAAATTACAAACCTTTGCGATTGCGGAAAATTTACGATTAGGATTTCTTGAAACTTCACTAAGATTAGTAAAACTTCTAAAATAATTCTGACGATTAGTATTTCTTTTTTATTAATAATTCAAGATTGGTTCAAGATTTTGTACTAATTTCAATGTTATTCAAAATTCTATGTATGAAGGTTAAGAATTTGATAGTCGAAGACTGTTTCCTAGTTCCTAAACCATCAGAACCAAAAATCAATAAAAATTTTCTTATTAATTTATATTTCAGCGAAAGATGGACGAGGTGGTTGAGGAACTGCACATGGTTTCAGTATTATTGCGACTATTTCCCCGTCACGTTAGTGAAGACCACCGACTTAGATCCCACCAAAAATTACCTGTTCTGCTGTGTACCTCACGGTATATTATCCACGGGAGTGTTCGGTGCATTCGGGACCGACATTCTAGGTTGCAAAGAAACGTTCCCAGGTTTAGACGTCCGGATCGTGGTTCTGGATCAGCACTTCAAGATCCCTCTGTTTCGCGATTACGTTTTGATGAACGGTACTTCATACTTGTCCTTTTTTCTGTTTAATCAATTTTCACATACAAATTGCAAAAATATATTTAAAGCTCTCGATCTACCTCTTTTGAAAAGTGACAAAAATATATAAGAATCTTAATCGATTTTCACGTAAAAGTTTCAGGAATAAAACTCTTGTTCTACTTCTCTTGAAAAGTAACAAAAATATATGAGACTCTTAATCGATTTTCACGTAAAAGTTTCAGGAATAAAACTCTTGTTCTACTTCTCTTGAAAAGTAACAAAAATATATGAGACTCTTAATCGATTTTCACGTAAAAGTTTCAGGAATAAAACTGTTGTTGTATCTTTTTTGAAAAGTAACAAAAATATATGAGACTCTTAATCGATTTTCACGTAAAAGTTTCAGGAATAAAACTCTTGTTCTACCTCTTTTGAAAAGTAACAAAAATATATAAGACTCTTAATCGATTTCCACGTAAAAATTTCAGAAATATATAAAACTCTTGTTCCACCTCTTTTGAAAAGTAATAAAAAAGACAGAAACACAATTACATAAACAAAACACTGTTAACATTATTAGAATTGCAATACATTAGAACAAATATTAATATTAAAACTAAAATCTGTAAGTTAAATATCATGAAAATACAGGTGGAGTCAGCAGCAACGAGGAGAGCTTGAATTATCAGCTGTCGACCAAACCTGAGCCGCCATTTACAGGAAGAGCGACGGTCCTCATCGTCGGAGGAGCTGCGGAGTCCTTGGAGTGTACTCTAGGAACTTATCGTCTTCTATTGAAAAGAAGAAAAGGATTCGTGAAACTGGCGCTGAAGCATGGGTTAGTTTTGTTATTTTTTCTGGTTTACAATTTTTCAAACATCTTTCTTTAACTTTAAAGTGTCGTTCGCTATAACCTTGATGAACAGAAATCTTCACACATCTTCAATTTCAATATTAGCACTTCGGCTGTTAATATTTTTGCAGAACAGCTTTTCATTTGTAACGCCATAATTTATGCAATGACTGTCAATTAATATGGATGGAAGTTTTAGCCTCTGCGTGTTTTAACGCACTTGTGACGCACTTATAGCTCAAACGTGACAAACTTTACTCAAATTTTGAATACTCTTCAACTTGAAATTTAGGTCTATAACTTGCATTATCAAAGATCCTTAACATAAAATATTCACAACTTTTGAATTTTCTTTATTATAATTTTATTTAGTTTCAATGTTATAACCCTGAATAGCTCGTCTTGACGCATCTGATAAATAAATGACACAGTAAGGGGTTAATACAGTACTTTCATTAATGACAACTTCGCCAAAAAAATTCCGTAAAAATACATAAAGTCTCCAATCATAAAAGTACGCTTATAATTTTGTAAAAGTAAGGTGACAAAATTTATCATAAAATTTTGCTGTCCTCACTAATAAACTTATCAATGAACCTGTCCCTCCTTACTAAAATTACTTAAAAGCTCCTTAATAAAATTAAAAGTGTAATCAACAATTTCCTTTCTCCAATTTAGGTCACCATTGGTACCAGTCTTCTCGTTCGGAGAAACGGACATATACGACCAGGTGTACGGACCCGAAGGTTCACGTCTCAAGAAGATCCAACACTACATTCGCAAATATATTGGACTCGCACCCATTCTTCTGAAGGGTCGTGGATTCTTCCAATACTCCTTCGGTATTATTCCACATCGGAAGCCTGTGACTATCGTTGGTAAATGTTTCATTATCGCTGTTGTAGATTAGACTTCGCAGGTAGACTGACTACATTTGCATCTGTAATTTACAAGTGTTTAGCTAATTGGACAGGTTCGACAGTTACTTATCTCAGTTGAAGTGAAAGACAATTTTAGTTGATACTATTTAGTTGGTAATTTTAATTGATACTATTTAGTTGATAATTTTAGTTGATACTATTTAGTTGATAATTTTAGTTGATACTATTTAGTTGATAATTTCAGTTGATACTTTATTACACTTCAAGAGTAATTTATGTTTGTTGTTGTTTCATAAATAATGTTTAACTGTTTGTTTTAATTATCCTTATATTAGTCTCAATTGTTCATGTTCTATTGGTTCTTAAAGCTGTTACTACATAGTTCTTCATGCTGTCACTACAAAATTTCTTGAAAAAGTCACTACAAAGAACTACAAGTCTACTACAAAGTCAATTTTGAAAAACCTTTTTATGAAGAATCATTGTATCATGACAAAAGATATACTCTTTCACTTGCTGTTAAACAGCTAAATATTTTATGACTGATGAAAATAAATAATAGGAAGTCAAGGTTTTTCTTTATTGTTACAATGAAAATGTTGCAAAGTATTTATTGTATAACTCATTATTAAAAATTGAAAACAAATAACACAGGTCCTTTCATGTTTTATTCAATTCATAATTGATTGTCATAATATAATTATGACTTCATAACTGACTTTATGAAAGACTAAAAATCTTGAAGATTTCTATAAATCTTAAAAATGAATAATAGGAAGTCAAGGTTTTTCTTTATTGTTACAATGAAAATGTTGAAAAGTATTTATTGTATAACTCACAATTAAAAATTGAAAACAAATAACACAGATCCTCTCACGTTTTATTTAATTCATAATTGATTGTCATAATATAATTATGACTTCATAACTGACTTTATGAAAGACCAAAGATCTTAAAGATTTCTATAAATCTTGTTATTGATGTTGCAGTTGGGAGTCCACTGGAGCTACCAAAACTATCAGAGCCCACAAAGGAGAAGATCGACGAGTACCACGAAAAGTTCACCACCAAGGTGATCGACTTGTTCGAGACCCACAAGCATAAATACATAAAGGACGCAGACTCCGTACACCTCGAGTTCCTATAGTGAAACTTCATGGACTTCATTCATAACGAACATTCATTCGTTCAGAATTTAAGATTCCTCATAGTTAGTTCTAGAACCATATCGCGAATTTCCACGTGCAATTGTTTTATCTGTTAGTTAGGTAAGTTTGCGTAAGAAAGAACCAATAGAATTAAGAATGTACATTGTTTCCTGCAATCAATTATAAAGAGATGGCCTTAAGCGACATTTGCTCAAATATGAATAGATCGTTGTTTAATTGTTAGCGAGCGTAAAATGATAGAAATTTGTACAGTTTATGCAAGTTAGGAGGCCATTGGATGACCAGGATGACCATTGGTCTTTAGATAAGGAAGTACTGTTACTCGTTATATCACATATCACTTTTCTACAAGTTTTATTATACGTTGTATTACGTGTTACATTTTCACGTCGTTACGTTGATACTAGTTACATATCGTTACCAGTATGTATTGATAATCGTTGAATTACACGTTAATTCTGACCTAACTCTGTGTAATCGAACACTTCACTGCACCTAAACCCACGAATGACCATTTTTGATCCCTTGCATGATTTAGGTGCGTCAGTCAAATGGTTCTGTGATTAGTATTATACTAATCACAGCTGCAATGTTACAATGGACTAAGAAAATTTTGGATTTGAACTTCACATTGAAGCATATTCAAAATCTAAGTAAAATTGATCACTGCTGAGTACATCACTGGTGCGTCACGTATCTGATCACAGTTGAGTGCGTCACAGGTGCGTCACGTATCTGATCACAGCTATGTCACTACCTAAATATTGCAAATTTGGATCTTGAACTCCAAATTGAAGTATATTCAAAATCCAAATAAAATTGATCACAGCTGAGTGCGTCACGAGTGCGTCACGTATCTGATCACAGCTGAGTGCGTCACCAGTGCGTCACTATCAAAATAGTGCAAATTTGGGTCTTGAAACCCAAATTGAAGCGTATTCAAAATCCCAATAAAATTGATCACACCTCAGTGCGTCATGAGTGCGTCACGTATCTAATCACAGCTGAGTGCGTCACAAATGCGTCACTATCAAAATAGTGCAAATTTAATCTTGAACTACAAATTGAAGCATATTCAAAATCCCAATAAAATTGATCACACCTCAGTGCGTCATGAGTGCGTCACGTATCTAATCACAGCTAAGTGCGTCACCAGTGTGTCACTATTGAATAATGCAAGGAGTTAAATCAAACCTCCAAACGAAATCCTACTTGCAGTGAAACAAAATGTACGAAGATGCTTCACAATTTAGAATGAAATAACTATTAACCTAACCTAACAAGTTACATGAATGACAGCTCCACTCGAAGTTTAACCAAAACGTCAAATCTCCAATTAACTCTACAGGGTACTTTATTATAAAAATCGATACGCACACACTTACATATCCCGTGATTGTGCGTGTACATGCATGATACATCTTTTAATATAGAATACTATCCCCCGTGCGTATTTGAATGAATGGGGCTAATAATACAGCGAGAATTAGAAATACTATGCACCAACCGATCCTCCGTAATATCTGCGAAGAAGAAATAAATTATGAATGATTAACTTATTCGATACCGTGTGTGTAATTGATTTCAATGGGTTAATATAGTGAATGATTACCGTGTCCTGCCATTCTCTGTTCGCGATGCAGTCGCGAAACCTCATTCGTGTGAAGTGGATCGTGCTGTACATCGGAGTCCAGAAGTTTGGAACGTGCCTGTAGAGGAACGTGTCGAGGTGCTTGCGGAAGAGGAACGATTTGGTTCTCACTAAATCTCTCATCTGTAATTTGTATAAATAAAGTCATTGAACATCTTGTACATAGGTTTCTTATGTAGTTATGTAGGTTTCTTATGTCTCAAAAGTGAATGAAAGTGAAAATCCAACTTTTGAGGAATGTTTAAAGAGTACCTCGATGTAATTGTACATGGCAAGGTCACATATCGCATGGGCATCTTCGCATCGTAGTTCTGTGAATTTCGGGAGAATCTGGCTGAAGTCTGAGCCGTAACGCTCCATTAGACCGTCGAGTAACAAGACGTCTTCGAATCCCTGAAAACATGGAGAATAATTATTTCTTTCATGTTAATATAGTTTATCACATATATTAATTTATTAATGAGTTTGATGAGTATGTAGTGTATTGGCTGGTATAAAACCTACAGTGTTCATTCCTTGAGCGTAGAACGGCACCATAGCGTGTGCAGCATCCCCAATGATGAGGGTGCTTTTTCCAACATGATAAGGTTTGCACTGAAACATATATTACATAGTATTTATGTAGAAATATTTTTTAATATTTTAAATGGATAATTTTAAATGGAGACGATTCAACTTACTGATTCAATATTATACATATAATATTATACAATAAATTTTATTATAAAGTGAATTATCTAATAATATTGTATAATAATATTGTTTAATAAATTATACAATTAGTATTCATTAATAAAAAAAAATTTTGAAGTTCATTTAACTTCTATCAAATTGCAGTATACGATTTTATCTTGAACTTTCATTAAGATTTCAATTTAATCACTCAAACACCCAAATGGTTAAAGAAGCTTAACTGAATATTTACCTTGACTGAAATGAGAGCTTTCGGTTCCCTCGCGAAATAATCCCTCACAAGTTTCTTCTTACTTATCAGTTTGATCAAATCCGGAAACTGATCTTCACAGAAATCTAGGAGAGCTTCTGACGTCGTTAATTTGTCCAAAGTGTCGAAGGGTGCGAACAAGTTTGCAGTGAAAGTACGGTCTTCGTTCGGTAAAGCTATCATCATAAACTCTCCTCGTGGCCATATATGAAGATGATTGTTACTCATCACGAACTTTAACAAAAACATCAAAATTTTCTTGTCAGGTTACTTAGACAATTACGTTTCATTTAATACAAAATTTTTGTTGTCACAAATATCTTTGTGATACCTTTGACATTCTAATTTCGCTAACTGTAAGATTAAAAAGAATAAGACTTTCACTATTTTCCAACTCTTTCATTATTTTTATTATTATTATTATTTGTTGTTTTTATTTTTTATAATTTTTTAACTTTACAAAAATTAAAGCTGAACAAAAATTGAAATATATTTAATTATGGCAATTTTGCATGGACAATAATTCTTATATTTTATATCTTTACTATTATTCTTACATCTTCTTTTTGGATATGAAAGTTGTCTTCTGTGGCTCACATTAAATTTTTATTATCAACATTTCTATTTTACTTCGATCACAATTTTCAAATCATTGATTTAATCGAAAGTTCAGTTTAAAAAATATTTAAAAAGATTCGATTATTTATAGAAAAAAGTGCATGTAGGTAAATATATTTTACCTGGTTATTTCTACCAGGAGGTACATGCAGCTCCACATAACCATGCTCAATATACGTCTGACTATAGTTAAACCGCGGCCTCCTCGTCATAACTTTCCTGATCCTCGAGTGAGCACCGTCAGCACCAATAATCAGATCAGCTTGCACCTCTTCTATTTCTTTGGTGATGGTACTAAAATATTGATCAGATGTACCATCAATAGGAACAACACACTTCACACAAACATCTAAATATATTTCTTACTCTTGCACTGTTAACTTTGCTTCTTCCAGGTCAGCGTCTATGACCTTCTTGTTGAAGTAGAGGCTCACTTCAGGGTACTTCTCTGCGGCTGTTGAACGAATTAGTCACAGAGAAATTCAGACACCATTTTAAAAAATTAAAAAATTTAATTTAATTTAATTTAAAATTTATTTGTATTTAAATATTTCAAGTGTATTTAAATATTTCAATGCAATTTACTACTTTTTGGTATAAATTTAACATTGTTGAGGGCTACGTAATATTATAAGAAAATCAGAATTAGACCAAGGGTGCTGCTTTAATATTTTTAGAAAAAAGAAATATTTAAATACATCAATGATGTGATATGAATGCAAATTTTTTAGACCAAGTGCTTTAAAATTTTTTGAAAATAAATATTTAAATATAGTAATAATGTAAATGTAAGTTTTTTAGCTTATACTATTGAATCATCCCTTACTGAAGAAAAAGGGGACATTGTCCATAAATTGAATAAATATTTAATAACAATACATTTTAGAACAATAAGTCAAATAAACTTGATCTATAGACAAAAATGTCATAACTTGTATTTAATGACAAAATTCTATTTATCTATTCATCAACCTATGTCATCTATTTAACAATATTAAACTAATAAACCAATAAAAATTTGTCGAAGCTCACAAAGTAAATCAAAGTAAATCAAAATCATGTAATGAGGTGCTCTAATAAAAAGCGTCTCGCGTAAGTAGGTGCAGATTGGATTATAAATGGCGGTCGAGCATACACGTTTCACGCACAAGATCTCAAGAAGCACAAGCTGGTAGTAACAAGAAACGTGACACTCTCGAATTCTTGTGGCTTCACGCACTACCGCGTCATCGGATATTCAGCGACGATTCTTTTCGATCGACAAGCATCTCGTGTTCGTTCGAGTACTTAAAGACAAGATGCGACTTTCATTTGTGAATGTTCCGTTCGAAGAATCGAGGGAAAGGTTTGAGTTTATAGAAAAAGTAACATGGTTAAGAAATACGGATGGAGGTTATGGATGGAGACGCTTTACTCACCGTTTAGGAGAACCACGTTGAGGTATCGCCTGCTGACGGAGTAAATACACTGAAAAAGACAAGAGAAAATGCGTGAAATATGGTTGGGTTTTGGGGAGATGTGGGGTAGAACCGCGGGTTGGAACCATTGGCGTATGTTGGTTGAGAGGAGGGTTGGGGATACTAGTGTTTTTTTTTAAATTTGGGAAATTGGGAAATTGGGAATTGGAGAAATTGGAAATTCGAGAAGGTGGAAATTGGGGAAATTAGAAATTCGGGAAGGTGGAAATTGGGGAAATTAGAAATTCGGGAAAGTGGAAATTGGGGAAATTAGGAATTAGGAAAATTGGAAATTGGGGAATTTGGGAATTGGGGAAGGTGGAAATTGGGGAAGTTGGAAATTCGGGAAGGTGGAAATTGGGGAAATTGGAAATTCGGGAAGGTGGAAATTGGGAAAATTAGAAATTGGGGAAATTGGAAATTCGGGAAAGTGGAAATTGGGAAAATTGGAAATTGGGGAAATTAGGAATTGGGGAAGGTGGAAATTGGGAAAATTGGAAATTGGGGAATTTGGGAATTGGGAAAATTGGAAATTGGGGAAATTAGGAATTGGGGAAGGTGGAAATTGAGGAAATTAGGAATTGGGAAAATTGGAAATTGGGGAATTTGGGAATTTGGGAATTTGGGAATTGGGGAAATTGGGAAATTGGAAATTTAAGAATTTGGGAATTCAGAAATTTAGAAATCGAGTAAATATCAAATTTTACCACCGAATGGTAGCATTTGTAAATCTGAAACTACCTCAGAAGCAACTATTGGTTACGCCAATGTAACGCGACGAAATCATTGATTATATCACTCACATTTCCTTTGCCATCGTAAATGATTTCTTTCAACTTGCCATCCTTGTTATGAAGCATTCTACCACGCATAGGGATACCATGTTGAAGCAGAGTTTCTTCGAGACCGACTTTCCTTAAAGCTTCACGACCTCTAACTGAAAGCGCCAGGTCGATACTTTGACCCCAAGTATCTTCTTCCCTGACGTCTGCAACACACTTTTCTTAAACTACGAAATCTCTGAGACATTACAATAACTTTGACTAAATAGTCAAGCAAATGCTTCAAAATTAGTAAATTAACTTTGACACCGATTAGGTGTTGAGGAAGAGAGCAAGGTACCAGATGGTGAAAGTCACTGAAGATATTTATTATACATTCAACTTAAATTATCAAGAAATTGTATTAGTTAGATATCTTATAATTAATACCCTCGGATCAATGTCTAATTATATTGTGTCTTATCTTGTTAAATATCTGTGCTGTTATTATAAACTAAAATATATTATTCGTGTACTATGATATGTCCAATTCATATATCTATTATGGACTTAACTTTACATATAACCCATGTACCTGTTGTAAACGATACTATGTGACTTAACTTTATAATCCATGTACCTATTTTACAAAATGATATAATCCATGCACCTATTCCAAGCAAAACTACATAATCCACAAACTAATCCAAATTACACTTCACAATCTGTGTCCACAAAAAAATTAATAAACATGTCACGTCAAAAATTGATCACTCCTAATTGCTCATAGTAATAATTAATATATCACAAAGATATTAACAAAGAATAGTTAGAGTATGATTTTAAAGTATAACTTACCCGGACGATATTCATAAACAGCCACCCGATGACCCCTCTTCGCAAAGAAACACGCAGCGAGAGCACCAACCTAAAAGATTAACAATGCACTGTATTCTTTTATCTCACCAACTGAAAATTGCAAATGTTCTTTTTTTCTTTATTCATATATAACTATTGTTTAAAGAGAAAATGGACACGCACCAAACCACCCCCTGCGATGGCAATTCGAGGCTTTCGATCGGCGACCGCCATGATACACCGTCCAGCAGCGAAGCCGCTGATCAACTACCTGTCCTAGCATGATCCACATGCTAGTATATATATGTACAGAGTGAGTCAGATAATACTGGAACCTCAAAAATCGACGTAATCTGGTGATACGAGAAAATCCCTTGATGAACAAGAATATTTATTGTTGGAACCGTTAGTGATGGAAAAGATTGATTTCGTTTGAGGATTCACTTTTGATAGAAATTCACTTTTGATGTAGATGAGTACTTCAAAGTATTGTTCGTGTTTTGGCACATTTCTTGGTTCAATTAGGCTTGGTGTATGGTAGTGATTGTTGTTAGATATGTGGAAAAAATGGGACAAGTCGATTGCTTCAGAAAGTAGGAATTGGGGAAAGTGGAAATTGGAGAGATTGAGAATTGGGGAGATTGGAAATTGGAGAAATTGGAAATTGGGGAGATTGGCAATTGGGGAAAGTGGGAATTGGGAATTGGGAAAAGTGGAAAATGGAAAGTGGGGAAAGTGGAAATTGGGGAAATTAGGAATTTGGAAATTTGGAAATTTGGAAATTTGGAAATTTGGAAATTTGGAAATTTGGAAATTTGGAAACTTGGAAACTTGGAAACTTGGAAACTTGGAAACTTGGAAACTTGGAAACTTGGAAACTTGGAAACTTGGAAACTTGGAAACTTGGAAACTTGGAAATTTGAAAACTTGGAAACTTGGAAATTTGAAAATTTGGAAACTTGGAAACTTGGAAATTTGAAAATTTGGAAACTTGGAAACTTGAAAATTTGGAAACTTGGAAATTTGGAAACTTGGAAACTTGGAAATTTGAAAACTTGGAAACTTGGAAATTTGAAAATTTAGGAATTTGGAAATTTGGAAATTTAGAAATTGTGAAAGACTTGAAAATATAATGATTTAAAAACTCGACGACATGAAAATCCACAAATCCAAAAACATAAAAATTGCAATTCTATTAAAATCACCGAAAAATATCAACCGACCCGGAACACCTCCTTTGTCACAAAGAAATTTCACGAAACTCCAACCCACTAAATCCGGCAATTCGTTTTTTTCCACAAAATTATTGTTATCAATAACAAATATGTAGATATCGGCAGCTGTCACATTTATAAGACTTATTTTTCTTATGTGAGCCTCTGTTTGTTTCCATATATTGTGAGAGATTAAATGATATTGATATTAAAGTTAGGACGGTAATTTAATTACCAGTCGTTTATCTGTCAATGGCGCTGATCACGACTCGATCGCGGGTTTCATTGATATTCAGATAACAACGTACGTGAACGAATACAATATCGTATACTAAAAAAAGAGTTAGAGAATTCTTCCTGAATAGATTGCACTCGTAATCTCGTTTGCGATTATCGTTAAAGTGATTCGTTAAATAATTACGTGATTCTCTTAACGTAGTTTTAGGAAAGACAGAAATATCTCGCTTTGTTTCTTTATCGAAATTTAATCTTTGCTGCTTTGTTACGATTTATAATATCTGTTGAATAAACAAGTTATAAAAATAACCACTCGAATAAAATATTTAGTTGTTGAAATTTGTTTGATAAATAAAAAAAGTTAGTCAACAAGGGAAGTATTAAGCATTGAAATAAAATGTGAATTTGAACACGTTCAATCTGTGCAATTCCCAATTTTTCCAATTCCTAATTTCCCCAATTTTCAATTTCTCCAATTCCCATTTTCCCCAATTCCCACTTTTCCCAATTACCACTTTCCCCACTTACCACTTTCCCCAATTTCCACTTTCCCCAATTCCCACTTTCCCCAATTCCCAATTTCCCCAATTTCCACTTTCCCCAACTCCCACTTTCCCCAATTCTCAATTTCCCCAATTTCCACTTTCCCCAACTCCCACTTTCCCCAATTCTCAATTTCCCCAATTTCCACTTTCCTCAAATCCCACTTTTCCCAATTCCCACTTTCTCCAATTCCCAATTTCCCCAAATCCAAAACTTCCATTTCAATCACTTGCCTCCCATCTTCCTATTTTCCTAATCACCGATATTGCAGCAACATACCGTCATATATAAATAAATTGCAAATCAATTTTAAGAAACGAAAAGCCACTCATAAAGATATCGAAGATTACGATATCGTGTTTGTTTTCCACAATTTTCAATAATCAACAGTTATACTCTTGACGGATCTGCTGATACACGGTATTGGTGTATTATGAACTTTGCGAACGGTTCAATAGCTATAAAGCTTGTCTGTCTTTGCTACTGAAGCAATAAGCCTCCATACCGGCGTCTCTGAACTCCTCCAATCAAAATATCGTAAATCAAATCCTTCCGCTTCCTACAACCCATAAAACTGCGGACGATTCATATGTTACATGCTTTGCACACTATTCGAGCCACAAGTACTTTTCGCGTTTATAGGTTCTTACGTTTGCTAGATGGTGTGAGGATTTTGGGATATGTTCATTTGGTATGTTGTAGTTTGAAACAGTTAATAGTCATTGTGTGAATGTTATCATGTATTCATATATCATATGTTTATTATTATGTGAGTAATGATAACTTTGTATCTACAAGATTGTATGAACTGAAAATATATACCCAATGACATAAATGACGACATATGTATACTTATAGTACACTTAGTCAATGTAGCTTATACTATAGTACTTAACTTAAATTATTAGGACGCCATCAGAGAACCATAGACGCCATTTTGTGCAACGTGGAGGATAATAAGATATACTCAGAACCGTATCTTCATAATGTATATTCAGAACTGTAGAAACATGAAGATGTAAATCCAGTATTGCATCCAAGCTTCAAATGAAAGTCTTCAATGCATTGAGTATGAATGACTTGTGCTAGGACATACTTATGATCTGACTCCACAAGTATTGTTATCACTTGGTCATTGAGTGGTAGTTGGTTCTATTGTTACACAATCTTTGTACATCATCAATTGCTATATTATCAGCACATCAATAACTAAGGAACTGATTAATAGCAAAGGTAACATCATAAGTAGACATCTTCCTGGTTCAATATCTGAAGTACTCATCACCTGGAATCCACATTTATGTCAAGCCTTGATGTTCACATTCAGTGACTGTCCACCTGGTGCATTAAATCCTACATTCTTTAAAACCGTATCTTCCACATATGGAGTTCCACATCTGCTACATTATGCTCAGAATCTTTAACATCATGTCTAACATTTTTGACATTGTGTCCAACATCATTGATATTAGGTCCAACATCTTTAGCAATGCAATATCAAACAGCCACATCAGTATCTACCACTCCAAATCATCATCTAGTACCAACATATAGGTCAACACCTCCCAACGTGTTTACATCAAATGAGTGTCCACATTGAGATCCACACCTGTTGTAATAGGTCCTACAGTCTATAGACTCATATCTTCTATATTCAGTTCTACGTCTACTACATTGTATCCAGAATATTTAACATCGTCTTCAACACCTTTGATATCATCTCCCACATCTTGGACATTAGGTCCAACTTCTCTACTAATACTCGTGTACATCATATTAAACTACACCAGTATCTACCACATCAAATCATCATCTAGTAGCCATATATAGGTCAACACCTCCCAAGCTATCCACATCAAACCCATCAAGTTCCACACCTGGTGATCGTACAATATAGATCTACCACATCAAATCATCATCTAGTAGCCATATATAGGTCAACACCTCCGGACCTATCCATATGAAACCCATCGAGTTCCACACCTGGTGATCGTACAATATAGATCTACCTCATCAAATCATCATCTAGTAGCCACATATAGGTCAACACCTCCGGACCTATCCACATCAAACCCATCAAGTTCCACACCTGGTGATCGTACAATATAGATCTACCACATCAAATCATCATCTAGTAGCCATATATAGGTCAACACCTCCCAAGCTATCCACATCAAACCCATCAAGTTCCACACGTGGTGATCGTACAATATAGATCTACCACATCAAATCATCATCTAGTAGCCATATATAGGTCAACACCTCCCATCGTATCCATATCAAACCCATCGAGTTCCATACCTGGTGATCGTACAATATAGATCTGCATCAAGTTCTACATCTACTACACAGTGTCCTACATCTCCAACACAGTGTCCAACATCCTCAACAATGCAGTGATCGCATAAATCATGTAGAAGCGCACCAAGGACAAACCAGCCCGTGTAGTTGATCCCGGTCGGTCGCCAGGGGGTGGCGCGAGGAAGCTGAAAACGGCCAACGATGATGATGTGGTGGCCGACGCGACGTCGATGACGCTCCGTGGCGTGGTCGTCGTGGTCACGGCGCTGTTCGAAAAATCAAAAATAGCCGGTGTGCCAGTCAGTGCGGCGATGTCGACGGCGAACGACGTTTCGACGGTACGGTTCGGCCGGTGGTGGTGGTGCTGGCGGAGACGAAGGAGGAGTACCTGCGGACCAACGATGCCGACAGGATACGCGAAGACGATCGTCCTTCTGGGTGTATTCGCGGTGTTATGCGCCCTCCTGGGCACCGTGGACGCTGCCTCGAAGACGAAAGGAGACGAGCCCCGAGGCAAGGGCCACAAGGAGTCCGAGCCTGTCATCGAGGAAGTCAACGCCAAACAGCTCGAACGGATCCTCAACGAGAAGGACTTTGTTGCCGTGTACTGGTGTAAGTGTTTACACGAATGGTGTTCCATGGTATGCCTGGTGTACGATGGTCGTGATGTAATTTTGGCAGTGGTTTCTGCTCGAGGAATTCCTTCCGTTGCGTCTTTCTGTTGGAGCTCAGAAGTTGGCAGTCGGGCAACAGATGCTCATTACATCAGTTTGGCCAGAAGGTGTTAGACCCAACTGCCATCTTCTCGACTGCAACGGTACTTGATGTTTGGACACACCCTTGGTACACTGAATTTCCGTGGTTCAGTCAACTTGTAGGGAATATTTGATGACACTTGATATAGCACTCTATCGAGGAACGACACGTGGAGATCTTACGTAACCTATAACGTAGCCTTTCGCTAAACTTCTGAGACTCTTTCTTTCATCTTAATTCGCAGGGAAATCCAAGAATGAAATCACCCGGGCAAGAATAACTGTCCGCGAATTCGATATTTTAATGGATTTTGTAGATCGACAGCATTTGTTGCATATATTTTCTTGGCTACGGTGTAGTCGGTTCTGGGCCTCCCTCGTTCTCTTCCTTCTTCGTCCCCTTCGTCGTCGCCGAATTATATAATCGGTGGCCGTAGTGGGTGTCGATGAAAGCCAGAACTGCAGCACGCGATTCGTCATTGAGATCGTTTTGCGTGCAAAAGACGACAAGTGAGACGTCAATACGGGCAACGGTTGTTAAACGTACCGAGGCGGGGACGCGCGTTCCCGCGTTATAAATAAATCCCCCGGCAGAAGATTGACGCCTCTGTTTCTCGTCGGAACTCGGCCTCTTCTTTCCTTTGGCGTATCTGAATTAATTTCTACTTCGGAAGTTGTCTCGTTAGGAGCAAAATATGAGATGATCTGAAGTGTAGGTTCATTGGGGGTTTTGAGGATTTGCAGATTTCAAGGGTTTTGAGGTTTTAAAGTTTTAGGAGTTTTAAGAGCTGAGGGGTATCAGAGATAATCTGAGGTATAGGTTCATTGGAGGTTTCGAGGGTATAGAGATTTTAAGGGTTTTGGGGTTTCAAGGTTTTAGGAGTTTTAAGAGCGTAGAGGTTTCAGGGGTTTAGGTATAACAAGAGTTTAGGGGTTCCAAGGTTTTAAGGATTTTTAGGGGGTTAAGGGTTTCAGGGGGTTAGGTGTATCAAAAGCTTAAGAGTTTCAAGGTTTCAGGGATTTTTAAGGCTTAGAGGTTTCGGGAGTTTAGATATATCAAGAGTTTAGGGGTTCCAAGAATTTAGGGATTTTTAGGGCTTAAGGTCCCCAGGGGTTTAGGTATATCAAGAGTGTAGGGGTTTCAAGGTTTTAAGGATGTTTAGGTCTTAGGGATATCAGGGGTTTAGGTATACCAAGAGTGTAGTGGTTCCAAGGGTTTAGGGATTTTTAGGGTTATGGGTATCAGAAGTTTAGGTATATCAAGAGTTTAAGAGTTTCAAGGCTTTAGGGATCTTTAGGGCTTAGGGGTTCCAAGGATTTACGTATATTAAGAGTTCAAGGGTTCCAAAGGTTTGGGGATTTTTAAGGTTGTGAGGGGTTTCAAGGGTTTAGGTATATCAAGGGTTTAGGGATTTCATTTTGATACAAATAGCACGAAACTAAGATTCATGACCGAAAGATGAATGCAACGATATTTAGACTACACTTTCAACACCTCGATTGTTGTTTTTGTAACTTATAACAAACATTTTTGTTTGGCTTGAGTTGGACATCTAACATTTTTTATGAACTCCATTTTAGATACACATTAAAGCTTCACTCTTTTGTCGCTTATACTTTTACTGTTATTAAAGATGCTGATACATTCTCATATGTGTACCAACACGTGTGTACCTCATGTGGTACATGGAAGTACCTTGTACAATTTATTTGAAAAACAGTAATTGGTCAGAAACTCATAATTATTAGAAAGCAATAATGATTTGAAAAGCATATGAAAAATAATTATTTGCAAAGCATATGAAAAATAATCATCTGCAAAGCACATGAGAAATAATTATCTGCAAAGCACATGAGAAATAATTATTTGCAAAGCATGAGGGAAATAAACCTTCTAAAAATTGTTTAAATGTTCATACAGTGTGACAATATTTACAACGCATGTCCATAATTTTTAATATATATTAACTATAATGGTGACGTACAGTTACGAGTTATTGAAAAGAATAGAAGATTGTAGGGTCTTTTTATGAACGTTGACCTTGATGTGTATTGAACAAAGTATACCATGGGATATAATTATGTTAATGTGTACATTTTACGCGTTAAACACGCGGAATTCATTCGCGTGACAATTAACAGGTATTAAATTCTCTCCCTTTGCCAAGTGGCTGATCCACTCAGTAGGACAAGCCGTCTCGAGTCAGACGAAAGATTTCGTGAACGTCTGCGGGATATTAAGGCGGGCGTACAATTAACGCGGGAGGTCGATGAAATTATGTGCCATTACTCTTCTTTAATCATATCGTTCTTGTAATTTGTGGAATGCATTTTGTTAATAGGAAATTTTGAAATTCATTTAAAATAAAATTTGTATTGTTATTGTGATGTTGTAGATATTAATGTATTGTACTTTTATGATTAATAGAAATTTTATTATTGTAGTATTCTCTGTAATTTGCAAAATATTTGCAATGAACTGTGATGACTGCAATTATTGATCTTCAGACCTGGCGTGTATAATATTAATATTTTATAAATATATAAAATATATAATTATATATATTTTTATAATACATATACATATTTGAAAAATATATTGTAATGTTTTTTATATAAAATATATTTATAAAATATTAATATTATGCACTATATATCTGAAGATCAATAATTGTTTATAAATATATTTCATATATTTACATAGGTATATAAAATATAGTTGCACATAGTATAAATTTTATTAATACATTCCTTGTATTATACATATGATTAGTATACATACAACATATTTAAAATTTCATGAATGTATTAAATATATTATTAATTTTATTAATACATGGCATACTATAAACTCGTTGAATATATTAAATGTGTTATGAATTTTATTAATATATACCACTATTATAATAACATATATTTTATATAAGTAGAACAGTTAGGTTAGGTTATGTCAGGTTATGTTACCATGAAGTGCACATACTCCACATATGTACATGTTCATACAACCTTGTCAAGTTTGAAGAAAAGTCAAAGAAACAAAATATTATTTTTGAGATTCTATGAATTTTTGGACGTGAATATAGGGATCAGGAATTTCTTGGCACAATGGAGAGATTATCGGAATATGGATCGCAGAATTGTTTGAAATTTCGAACGAACGCAGAATGCGTGCACTGTAAATAACTCGTGTAACACGTCGGAGTGTGTGGAACAATTTGACACGGGGACTTGTGTATTATTTTGCGAAACTCGAATGTCCGGATTTCTCGAAATTTCGAATGCTCAGCGTACCTGAGGAGCGTGGATTTAGACGTCGTGAATCTGTCGACGGTGACACTGAAATTATTAACGCACGAGACAGAAACAGAGGAAACGCAATGTTGCACCGAAATTATTCGAACACTGTTCGAAGTTACACCGAAATTATTCAAACAGAAAGTTCTCGTGTTATTCGGACACGAAATAGAAGCTGTTGCAAAGTTCCAACGTGAAATTGGCCAAAATTCAGAAATCGAAATTCGAAAAATGAAATGAGATTCGAAAAATGAAACATGAGATTCAAGAAACAAGAGCAAAATTCGAGAAACAAAAACCTAAATGTTTAGTAAAAGAAATAAATTACTATAAATTTGTAAGCAGGAAACGTACGAGGAAAGTAATCGATTACAGTACATAAATTACAGTACTGTTTGTTTGAAGTAAATCGACTTTTTCAGCAGACGAAGAGAGTGAACGGAATTTCGAATGAAATATGAAGTTTACGAGTGTGAGAATTTAAGACATAATTATATTAAACAGAGGTGGAGTGACCATTGACTCACTATGACGCACGTAGATGAAGAACGCATTGCCAGCTACTCATTTAATTCCGAAACCACTTGACAATGATTCAATGAGCAGTCGATGTAGATTGATGTAATTTGAGTGACTTCAAATTATCGATAACTTAGTGTAATAATCATGAAACGTTTAATGATGTTTGTAGAATGTCATTGCATTTCTTTGGTGCTTCAAAAAAAAGGGTTTGGAAAATCAGTGATGTCTTATAACATTTTGACAGATGGTTGTTATAGAAAGTAATTTTGATTCATCAAAACAATTAAAATTATTTTTACCAACAATAATATCTATCAAAAGTACTTAAATAAAATCTGACTCATGATACAATAAATATGACTCAGTAATGCCTCATTAAATAAAAAGAATATTAAATATAATTATAAAAGGAAGCTTTTGTAGTTGCATTAAAGTGAACAGTATAAGAGAATGGAATTTTGTATTGGAATTCATTGTCTTAATGAATATTCTAATCTAACCTAACCTGACCTGTTGACAACCTGTTCCACTGAACGTGTGCACGTAGCTGCAATAAACCGCGTGCCTGTCGCAGCCATCCCCTGAATCACGTTTTCATAATACCAGCTGATGTAATGGCTGACACGCCAGAAGACGGACGAAATAACCGACATCCGTACGAGGCAATTCGAGCGGTCTTGCCAAGAGATGCTGCAGAATGAAACGATCGTACAATCCTTTCTTTTTCAAGCACGTTGTGTTACCACGCGTTGCATTATTTCGCGGTATATCACCACGCGTTATATTGCCGCTTGTTGTAACGTCACGTGTTGCATTGCAATGCGTTGTATTACCTTGCGTTACAAAGCCACGCGTTGTATTACCATGCTTTATATCGCCACGCGTTATATCGCCACACGTTACATCACCACGCGTTGTATCACCACGCGTTGTATTACCATGCATTATATCGCCACGCGTTACATCGCCACGCGTTGTATTACCACGCGTTATATCGCCACGCGTTACATCACTACGCGTTGTATTATCACACGTTATATC